GCTGGGGAGGGCAGCGGGGATCCAGAGAAGCGGCGGGAGGAGAGGACATGGCGATCTACCAGTGATCGCTACGCGAGCGACTGGTAGATCGCGATCGACCTTGTGGGCACCCCTGGTTTATTCCATACAAAAAAAAAAAACTCATACATGCATGCGTCACCCTGGAATTGTGCAAATTACAGGGTCATGAGTTTCTTCTCCAACTATGCTCTCATTCACTATCATATTTAGGGACCTGAGCGGTATAAGCCATCCCTGGCATGTTCAACCCACAATCAGAGTCCAGAAATGTCACCAGCACACCATTTAAACGTGAAGAAAATCCATTTAATGACACATATTTGTCATTCAAATACAAAGTTTTGCCTCACAGGGTCCCCTTCATCAGGCTCAGAATGACACTAGGCTCTATGCGACATTCACGGTGCCACCCGTGGTCACTTCGAGCACCCGCCTGACTTTTTAGGTTATTCTTTGGAATTGGTAAGGAGTGCAACAACACAAGTCTTTACTCCGCCCACAATCATGTCATGCATATATGTTTGGTACTTTTAACACCTGAAAGCTTTTATAGTGTGAAAATTATCACAATGCAGAATTCCTATCTTCTAAAACCGAAAAGTGAACCCATCAAAAGCTGGTCAGTCAAAAATTAGATGCAAAAATAGGGACAAGCTGAAGTAAAATGATAATTTAAAAAAAAAATAAAAATCAGACAAGATGGTTGGAGAGAATGGGTTCGACACTTGACTTTTAGGCCTCGTACGCAAAGCGTTCAGCTTGTATAAGAACTGTATACAGTAAACTTTTACAGAGCATTTGAAAAACAAATGCTCTGTAAAACAAAATCGGACCCCACTCCCTCTCCTATCAAATTGGAAACTCACAAATGCATCTTACTGGGTACCCTTACTGCCCATGGCTCTCACTTTAAAAATGAGAAACCCACCCATATTACTAGACTCTTAAAAGAAATAGATTTTTTTTATGCAATTCCAAAGCACTGTCCATTACAGAAATACGCCTATTAAATTAAAGCTCCAAGACATAAGGATAGTTTTATTCATAGGGAACAGGTTGGCTTTGTATCCATATGGGAAGTTCTGTTACCTCCATCAAGACTCCTAGAGACACGTTTGCTGGATGTACGCTCAAAATATGGTGCAGGTCTGTCTATTTTCATACTTGCGTCTCTTGTCTGAGCTTGCGTGCGGCCACTATAACGAAACTTAGATCCCAGAGTCAAGAATTTGGCCTTTGGTGGCTGCTCTGGTGAGGAGAGCCTGCAAAATAATTACACCTTTTAAAATCAGAATTCACTGTTGCATTTAAGTGCTATAGACACTGGCAATTGGTACTTTAACTAGTGTAGACCACAAGTATATCATCGTATTAGTGCAGGAAATAATGCAACATCGCTTTGCCAATGTATTTAAAGATTCTAATTTCTCATTAACATCGGTTTTTAAAAATTACAGTAAAAACAGGAACTCTTGAGCAGTTGGAGTGCCATTAAAGTTGACACTAATTGTTGGTCATTAGTTAAAGTAAATTAATTGTGAATAAATGCCACAAATTAGTGGAATAAGCAAAAGACTTGGATTGTTTGCATCTGTCCGTAGCAGTAGACATACAAACTACAAAGACTTAAAAGAGAACTATGGGGCTTTTTCCCATAGTTCTCCTTAGGGTAACGGAAGGACACAAACCTCCCGTCCCCCTAAGCTCAGTATACCGCGAGCTACAGCTCGCGGTATACTGAGACGCCGCAGCTGAAGCGGATCCTGACAATTATGTCTGGATCCGCCCAGCTGCGTGAGTGACAGCTGGCTCTGCTTATCTAGAGGCAGAGCCAGCTGTACCCGCCCCCTCCCCCGTCCGTTCCGCCAGTCAGCGCTGGCGGATCGGAGCAGGGAGGGGGGAATCCAGCCCCTCCCCTATCACAGCAGAGAGCTGTGACAGGATCGGGAGGTGAGCGAACACCGGTATGTGTTCGCTCCCTTCCCGATCTACTGAGCCGACCTTTGACAGTCTCATTGTCACAGGTCGGCTAGAACTATGAGGTGAGTGAAAAGCACTCACCTCATAGTTCTCCTTTAGGCTGTGTTCCCACCTAGGCGTTCGAAATATGCGTGTATGACGCGCGTTTTGAAATAGACCCCAAACATGTCAAGCTTAAAAATTGCGCACACTCGTGAAATCGCAAAAAACTAGCATACCCAAAATTGGCCATAGGCGACGCTTTAAAAGCTTTTACAGCTCATCAGTTTAGTGTTATCAGTGATTGATGACCCTAAAATTATTGCTCTCACTGTGACAATCGCGGCGATATGTAACGTGTGGCGTAATCATCGTTTTCGCAGGTATGCGCACCTGACGCATTGTTTTTTTCAATTCTTTTTTATGTGTAACTTTAAAAAAATTTGGGGGAAACTTTAAATGTTTTCCCCATTTTTTTTGCCATCACAGAGGGGGCTAAGAAACCCCTCTATGTGATAGCAAAAGAGGTGACAGGTCCTCTTTATGGAGACATCAGGGGTCTCCAAGACCCCTGTCACCTAGGACCCTGCTGAAGAAGCTGATGAAGCAGAGATCTGCTTCATCAGCTTCTCTCCAGCATCTGAAGCTGGAGAGTGACACGAGAATGCGGAAGTGATGTAATATACACCACTTCCGCATTCTGAAAGCAGAGAGGGGACTGGAGGGAGATCGTGAACCGACCTCCCTCTGATCTCCTGTGACAGAGGCAGTATTGCTGGTCCCGTGCTCACACCGGAGCCCGGGACCAGCTTGACAGCGGGAGGGGGTGAGCCGCAGAGGGGGGGCGCCGCACATCACGGGACCTCATACAAGGGATCCGCCGGCTCTATAGCCGGCGGATCGCTTGTATATTAACGGGCATCGCTGCCTGTTTTCAAATAATAGGCATTTCCGGCGCGCCCGAGTGGGCGGAAGTAATAGGACGTGTATACACAACGGCCGGCCGGTAGTTCAAATGGAAAATTGGTGTTATTCATGGTGAGCATAGCTTTTCAACTGTCTTTAACATTATATAGTAGTCTGTCTTGAAAGGTGATTTCCCCTAAATCTCAACAGTAGCAATGTCTAAACTTCTCAATTTCAGCAACTCCTCAGCTCCATATTATTCTATACATAACCTAATCACATCCCAGGCAGCTTATTTATAAAATACAACATGCAGGAGAATTAGAAACAAATGGCCATTTTATATATAGGCTACACAGCTGTGTATTTCCATACAGATCACAGATTTTATGAACACTGGTATGTATGTATGTATGTATGTATGTATGTATGCATGCATCGGATTAAATATGGAATTGGAGGGCTTTGCAATTGACTAGAGGTGCACCGAAATAGAAATGTAAAAACCGAAATAAAAAAATTGTCAGGCCGGAACCGATATTTAAATTTTTTCACATTTTTATTTTTTACTTTACTTTTAGGGGCTTTGGGGAAATATTAGTGGTCTAAACAGACTCCTGATATTTCCATTTTAAAATAGAAAAAGAGATTGAGAACACAGAGTCCTCAATCTCTTTTTCTGTATCCCCTGTTATCAATGAACAGGAATCCTCTATGAGTGTTCCTTAGTAGAACAAATGGCAACTGTAAGGACAATGGGGAAGAAAAATAAAATAAGATAAGATATGCAAAGAATAAAAAACCTGCAATTATCTAAAAGTATCTGTTCGTAGATTGTCATTACTAAACATTTCTATAGGTGACTTTGTTGCCATTTTTAGGATAAAGTTCTTCTTTAAGCTTAAGGGTCGTGTTTACGGGTAATGCGAGATGTACAACTAGGTTAGGCATAACAGTTATGTTGGCCACAAAAGTAGTGAATGATCTTTTTCTCAAATAAGGAAAGTGAACAGTTTGGGCAAATGTCCTTGGATTGTCCAAAAAGAATGATTATTCATTTTAAATGAAAATCCTTTAATTTCTACCTCCTATTTTGTGCAGATTTCTAAAAAATATAATTATTTCTCTGAAACCATTTCTGTATGGAAAGACTGCACTGCTATGTAAAGTAAATGGCCAGCAAAGGGTATTTAGAAAAATATTCTCAAGGATTGCGGGTAAGATAATTTCATAGTTTATGTATATAATAATCCTACCAACCTTTTTAAAATGTTACCTGTAAAATGTATGATGCTCTACACACACTTTCCACAGCCTCTTGGCAGCCCGATGGTTTGGCAGTTTGAATCCGATTGTGCTCTCAAAATGTTCAAGCTGGAAAAAAAAAAATGAATGAAGAGTTTCTGTACAAGCCAATTAGCAAAGCGTGCTAACACTCCATATGCATTTAACTTTCAGCTAAAAATTACACATCTCTGGCTCATAAAAAGCTTTTCAAACATTCGAACTGATATTTAAATGGCTCCACACCAACTCCAGTTGCCACTTAGCTAACTTGGGTAAAAAGATATTAAAGAAAACCTGAAATGTGCAAGCAGTGCCCAATAAAGGCAAGCTGCTCTTTTCCCTATTATGGACTTATCATGCTTTGTTCTGCACAGTGTCTTTGTGTGAAGACGGCCATCTTGGTAGAGGCAGGGCTTTGCCTTCTTATGTTCCCTGATGACTGGAAATCTGATGTTTAATGGGGGAATAATCAAGAAGCTGCAGAAGAAGCGCAAAGTGCATAGACCAACAGAATGAATGAAGCAGGGAGATTTTTGCACTGCAGGTCCTCAGGTACATCTTCCCCTCTAGAAAGGAGAATAGTAAGCAGCACAGTAGTGTCAGCACAAGTCTTACTCCAAATCTCTGAGGCACAATATGCTATAATCTCACAATACAGATATACAGCCAGGAGGCTGTAGGCACCGGAAGCCAACTGCTATTTTTAGGAGGAATTAGGAGGAATTTCAGGGTACTGCTTAGGCACAATTAACATTGCTAGATGTTCCCTATAAGATAGCAACGCTTAACTTTTTGCATTTGGGTTCACTTTAAAGTATGACAAAACAAATGCTTATACTTACCTTTCTAGAGGCCCATTCCTTGAAACACTGCCTTTTTTGGTGCTCACTGGCCACTATAGGTATTTGACTAGCTGCAGGGGTTGAATAGCTCCCTCGCCTAGCACTTGCAATTGTTTATCTCTCTGACTTATACATCCTGTAGTGATGGAAGAGCTCCCAGAGGACACCACAGCATGCAGTGGAGAAGCAGGTATACCACCCGAAAATGTAGAATATATTCAATGGCTGGCAAGGGACTGCACTTGAGATGTCTCCTTACTTTTTATTTCTGTGACACCAGTACAAGAAATAAATGGAATGAAAGTCACTGAGAATAGAAATTTTAAGCTTTTCCCACTCTGCTAAAGAATAAAAATATTTATTTTGCAGTCTGACCCCACTGGAGAGATTTTACAGCACTTCCTGCCCCTTTGACCCTGTCAATGAGACAAGAAGTGGGGGGAAAAAAATCTCCTCATTGACACTGCAATAAAAAACCTGAACCCACTTATTCCTTTCACCATTCAATCCAAAAAAAATGGCTGGAAGCAGACTGACATAAATTAACTAGAAAAGGAAATCTCAAGAGCACTGTATGACGAATGCCAACATAGGATTCTAGTAAAACTCAACAAATTCTAAATAACATGAAACTGAAGTTTGAATAGCACAATGTTCAGAAGTTGTTACCAAAAGTGAATATTTTACAAACAGATAAAAGTCAGTATTCTCATAGGTCTGACTTGATACTGCAAATACATGATTATACAAGACTCATTTTAAGTTAGTCATTTGGCAGTGTACATAAGGCCATACAGTTATAAAAGTTTTCAGGGTTTAAGTGGGTATACACGGTACGTATTTGCACAGTAGGTGCTGCTGTCAGCACCCTTTGATCAGCAGATCGCAGGAGCAGGTAGGAAAATTTCTCGGCTGAACGGTGCTTTAGGTATTCTGACTTTAGCGCACAGAAGGGTTGATGGAGGAATCAGTTATATCATCTTTGTTCAGCCCGCAGGTTCAACAACGAAAATATATGTTTTCTTCAGAATGCCATGAATTGGTCCTGGATGGAAGGTATATACCCACCTTTTTTAGGTCATGGTCCCTTTAAAAAGGGACAATAAAACAGGTTTTGAATGAATACGGTCAGAAATTCTTACCAATTCAGGGTGTGGGGTTTCGGGGTAAGTTTTTCGAAGGGAACTGTTATGCAATCTTCCCAGGATTGGTAGACCGGAAATGGGTCCCGGAATCCGGAGGCTTGGAGAGATATTGGGTAGGAAAGAGTCTCCAATCCTGAAGAGCACAGGAAGCTAGTCAGCAGTTGGTTTGTGAGGTGTGTTTGGAGCAGGACACATGTTGGTGCTAGGCTCTAGACTGTGTCTGTACCTGTGCTGGACCCTCTTGGAGCAGGCTGGGACTCTAAACCTGGTGTGGGACAAGCTTGTTGACTAGGTGAGGCGTTCATGAAGTTGTACTAAACAGAAGTGCTGTTTATTTGTCATTTTGCTGAGGATACATTTTTATTTGACCATTTTGGATAAAATAAAGTCTATATATATTTTATAAGATATGGCTAGCTATTAATCACAAACGCCCTGAATATTACAGTGTGTACACAGCTTTAGTATTTGAAGTCATGCTCATGTCATATTTAGATCCTACGCCCGTTTGCATGTTAACAGGGTAGTCTTAAAAAGCTGCACTGAGGGAGAGCTAGGTGCAAGTGGTGATGCTACCATCATGGAGTGAGACAGTGATTTGCAAAGAGAACAGGAGAAAACAGTGATGTGATATTTTTGACCTAATGTCCTCTTCTTCCTTTAGCCCATTTTTTTTCTCTATAGCCTAAACACACATCCATAACTTCAGAACACAGGTGCAAGTGACACCTTAAACAAAAACATGGCTCTGACTGCCAAGGTAACATGCAACACAAAAGTATCGGTAAGTGGAGCTTAACATTGAATTTCTGACATAAACTGTGAAAACAGGGAAAATGGGTAGTACCTACCTCGCCCTATTTTCTTATAACATTACAAAACTATTTTAACTAGTTATTAGATACTAGAAGAAACAGCAATGGCAAGTATACTACAAGCTTTGAAAAACCATTACAGTAGTAGATATTAAGTAATTGTGTTGCTTACCTCGCCAGGTCTCACTTTAATGAAAAAATTGCTGCGTTTGTAAGAAATCTTAAGAATCTTGGGCCAAGCAAAACGATTAATTCGAAGTCTGTCCTTGTAAATAAGCAATCCATTTGAACAAACACCCAGCATGATATCCACACCTTCAGAATCCTAACGTAATAAATAAAAATAATTAACACAGACATTATATGAGCAAATACAACATTTCAGAAGCTATACATATTTGTAATTACCAGTAATCCTTTGACCCTGCACTCTGGTTCATTTGAACTGTTCTTTGTGGTGTACTGACAACCGCCACCATCACGAGTAAGAGCACAGACAAAAGTCTTGAGTGTGTAACCAAAGTCACAAGCAATAGATGCAGAAGCGCATCTATGTGTACGCCCTTTGATGTGTAAAAACCCAGTAAGTTCTACAATGGCATGGTGTCAAAAAAATGCAATTGCATTATTAAAAGTATTAAGAGTAATGTAAATGTAAGACTAAATTCACATTCAGGCATTTTTCATGCAGGGCAGCTGCAGTGCAGGGTGTCAGTTATCCCATATGGAAGATGTGCTTGGCTGGAAATCGCAGATGCAGCAAGCAGAATTTTCTTTTCTATTTAGCCAAAAAGCTACCACACTAAGGGGTTATTTTCATAAAAAAACTGAAGAAAAAAAATGAGAACAAAAATGAAGTCATTGCTTCTTTGTTCCATGAAATGAAAAGTGAAACTTGATTGGTTGCCATTAGCCACAACTCCATATTTTGTACTTCAGTTTTATGAATCAGCCCACGTGTTTTCACTTTTAAGCAGTTATTTCAGTGCAACCTTACCTCTCAGGAATAGGTGTTTGTGCTCTTTTTAACTTGTATTTTCTCCCTGTCATAATAGAAATGTTAGCTCAGTGTCAGACTGTAAGACCCTTATGGAGGCTTACCTGTCTACTGCCTTAGCTCAGGGCTGCTAACTTAATACTCTGCCCAAGCTACAGAAAGAGGGTAAAACTGTCAATTAATATCTATATATAGTATTGGCAGCCTTTCAGCCCAATAAGTCTGCAATTCTAGAGAAAGAAGTTCTCCTTAAATACATTTTATTTACAAAACATTCTTTGTAAAGCTGCCTAAAATAGGTCCACTGACCATTTAAATTTAAACCAGCATAATGTGGGAGTCCGATTATGACAGCCAAAGTATTTAATCTTTATTTTAGCAAAACATGGTTTATAAATCGAATAGTCATTTTATATGGATATCAAGAATGAATTACCTTGGCATGATGCAGGTCTACACCATACATTGACAATTTCTTGGCATTTTCTAAGAAATTGATATCTGCTTGTGCTGGTGTAAGCCCTCTAAAACAAAGAAAAAAATAAATATATATTAGTATTAACAGAGAACTAAGACATTCCCAAGATATGGCATGAGTATGCAAGTAACTCATTAACTCTTTTTGCTGTGTTAATAAAGCATATGAAAAGTTTTTTCTCTGCCTTGTGCAGTTTGGATCGCTTATGTGTTCTACCACAAAAAGGAAAAACATAATATTTGTCTAACCTATGAAATCTATATCCTGGAGTACATCATAGGACACATGGAGTTCATTCTGGAACCAATGGATTCTTCAGCTACCTTCATATGCCTGGGCACTGGCAAATCAAAGCTGGAACAACCCTGTATAACCCCTCCCACTCCCAGCCTGCTCCAAGCAAGCAGTATAAGCATGAATCATAGAAACAGACGGGAGGGCCCTATGTCCTGTTATGTACTCCAAGGAATGGGATTCAACAGGTAAGACAAAAATCCTCTCTTTTCTTGATTGTACAACACAGGACACAGGGGATGCCAAAGGTGGTGGGCAACACAACAAACACAGGCTACCAACAAAACACAAACCCCAAAAGGAAACTAACAGAAGGGGCCAACAATTCAGATGGCCCCCTGAAGAACTTTGTGACCAAACCTAGCATCTGATGAGGCCTGAACATCCACCTGAAACTTCTGTAGGATGTTGTGGGGCAGTACATATAGTTGGTAAAACAATGTCCCAGCTAAAGTGAAAACCAGTGACTACCTTATAATGAAAGAAAGCCCTAGGCCTCAGAACTACCTTATATGTGGGGATAACCAAAAAGGCTCTTTACAGGTCAACGCAGGAACATGCCTGGCAAAAGTGATGCCGACAAGTAAGGTATTTCTCAGAGAAGTACAAAGGCAACTTCTGCACAGTCCCTTACCCAACCTACAGTCCCTTAGAGTCGCCAGACTGCATACAGGGGGGACATGAGCAATCCTCTGCACAAAGGACTTCAACGTCCGTGTACCACAGTCTCCTTTGCCAATTGGGAACAATTAGGATCATCAGAATATCCTCTATCTCAATACTATGAAGAAACTGAGGCAAAAGGTATCAATGTGTAGACTGAACCGATCCCTTGGAGCCACCAGGGCATCAACTGCAAGGGCCATCGGATTCCTGGTCTTGGCGACAAACTTGTACAGTTTGTTGTTGAACTTGCAAACTAGGATGTCCACATCTGGTGTTCCCCACCTGCAACAAATGGCTTGAATCACCCTTGGGTGAATGGACCATTCTCTGGAACAAATATTGATGACTGATGAAGTCCACCTGCAAATTTTCCACTACTGGAATGTGTAAGACTGATAGGACTGGGATGTTAAGTTCTGCCCAAGCCAGAATCAGATCAATGGCGTTGTCTGACTGAATCCTGGTCAAACTACTTTGTAACTAAGGGGTCCAGCCGACAAGGGACAACCAAATTGCCCTGAGCTTCAGGATGGTAAATCAGGATGAGAGTTCTCCGACAACCAGATCCCTTGAACAGAGAAGTTTTTCAGGACTCCTCCCTAACTGGACAGGCTGGTATCCCTAGAAGGAACCTTCCAGACCATTTGGTGGAAAGACTTTCCCAATTTCGCCAAGTTGGAAATCCAATACAGCATGGCAAGTTTGGTTTTGCTGGACAAGTGAATGGGGTAATCCAGAGATTTGAGAATACTTGTCCCCCATGGCCAGAATGATGGACTGCAATGGTCTGGAGTGGAAATGAGCATATGGGACTGCTTTGGAGGAGGCTCACCTGAGAATGGAGGAGAGCTAGGACAGGGGACAGTGTCTTGCTATAGATCCGGGGCACAGTGGCCAGGCCAGATGGAAAAGAAACAAATTGGTAGTGTTGCATGGCCACTGAAAAACTCAGGTAGTGTTAGTAAGCAGGAAAATTTTGGAATGGCCAATCTGCACACTTACTATCCACCAAGGCCAGAAAATTGCCCAGATAAAGGAAAGGAAAGCAATGACTATGTACCATAGAGAGGCGATGGAACAGAAGGAATCAAACTATAAATCTAGTACGGGTGAACCCCACCTTTTGCCTACGGGACAGTGAAAAGGTTGCAATAAAAATCTGGAATCTTTCTGATTTTGGGAATAGGAGGACTATGACCCCCTAAGAAAGGAGCTGCCTTAGGGCAGCAAGACTATCTTCCAGTATTTGGGGGAACTCCGCAAATTTGACAGCATGAAGCAAAGAGTAAGCAAGGAGTGAGACTCTAGTATGTATTCTCTGGAAACTACCCTCTGTGCCCAGGCATTGGAAATGCCCTGGGGCCAGTTGGCCGCAAGGGCCCCCCCACTTGAGAAAGTCCAAGCACCCCTTAACAAATTCCCAGCTTTGGGGGCTTGAAGGGCCAGAATTACAACAAAATTGAACACATGGTTTAGATTTCAATCCCAAAGCTTGGGAAGGACAAAAAGAACATTTCTTAATAGGGAGGACCTTGCTAAAGAGGGTTTCGTTGTCATCTTCTAAGGCAAAAAGAGAGTATAACTTCTTGTCCACTCGGTCTTTGAAAACATGCACATCATCGAGGTGCTGTTAAAACAAAAAAGGACTGGGTCCACGATAACATATTTGGGAGGAGTGAACAATTTTCCAGGGTAATCCAAACCACCATATAACACAGACTGTAAGAGCGTGTGTACAGAGAAAGTTCTGGCAGGTTTGGGCATTTTCATGCATATTAGACTAGTAACTTTTAGTAACATGGACACAGGCGGCTCTAACTGTAGGTACATATAAACTGCGTCCACAAGGGTAAGGACAGAAACCTTAAGTTAAGTAAAGATATCAGCAGACAGGTTTTTTTTTTCCCCTGGGCTGAATCCACAGTTCTGGAAGCTGCCACGTCTACTTCTTCTCCTTGCGATGTGCTGGCACAGGACCTTGAGCCATACCATATTTGCAAGACTGAGCAAGCACATCATCTTGGGTCTAAGAGACAAAGTTAAAATAATAGACCTAGACCGGTTTTTGCAAAATATTTCCACTTTGCTGATGGAGAGATAATTTTGCAGGCATTCCGCAAAATGAAGGAAATCAGAGTTTAAGTAGAGGAGTAGTTGGTAGGTAGATTAAAGATATAAAATGAGACCATGGACGGTATACAAACGGGATGTTCTGCAAGATTTTAAGCAGCGATTGACTTCTATTAGGGCATGTGAACACCTTTTTGGGGCCTATACAAGTGCTTTAATCTATTATGAGATCTCTCCAACCTGCTTTCTTGATGTCCTCCAGTACAACTGAGCTAGATCTAAAGTTGGTGTCTTGGAATATGGCAGGGCTGAATAATCCACAAAAAGAAAAAAGGTTCTCCTACATCTTCAAAGAATGACTCCCGATATAGTATTACTGCAGGAGATGCATTTGAAAAAGTCAGATGGTTTGGGTTGTCGGGCTTCTTGGATTGGGGAGATTATAGCAACATCTTACAAAGCTAAAAAGAGGGGGTTGGCCATGCTTTTGAATAAAAAAAATGTACCTTATAGTTTAATACACACAGATTAAGTGGCGGGGGATTTTAATGTCACTATAGACTCAGCACTAGATCGCTCACATTTACAAAATCATGTTTCTTGTTCGTCTACAAAAGATTTGAAATTTTTGTTGACTCACACTTCTCTTATTGATGCTTAAAGAATTATGAATTCTACAAAATGTAATTTCACTTGAATTTGGAGTTGTATACTTGAGCAGTTGCCACTAGATATTTAAGAGATTGAATTCATGGCAAGTAGTTATACAGACTCAGATTTGAAGCAAAATTCGAAACCTGATTTCAATCTCATGTATATGCTTCATGGGGTTGTAAGGCAGAGTGTTTCATAATACACCTAGTGGATTGCCCTTCCACCTGTACAACTCACCAGCTAGCTATATTTTATGTGTTGGTGTACATAGGAAAGGTCTGCAACTCCCTTGTGAGAGTTTGGATCTCTCATATGTCATTTTACCACAAGCCTGAATCCAGTGGCCTCCAAATAAACCTTCATTAACTGCTACAGAGGGTGGGCAAAATAACAAAAATACCTCAAAAAATGTAATTAGGACCTTCAAGTAGAATTTTTAAAGCACATGAGGCAAGGAACAATCCAAATATAGAACATACCTAAATTATAGAGTTTTTGTCAAAAACAAGGCAACATTTTTTTAATGTTTAAAGCAAAATGGACTTGAAAATTATGATATATAGACAAATGACACTGACAAAGAGAAACAATGGCCACAAGCCAAAGCTTTACAACAGGGTTGGAGAGACAGCAGATGGCTAAGGGAGAACACAAAAATACAGTCTTGAAAATTGCATTAGCACCTATGTGAAAAACTCCAAAAAAAAAACTGAAAATCATGAAGTGCATATAGTTGTAAATAATGATGCATCTGCGATTTGGACATGCTTATGTCCAATGCCAGAAAAAAAAAAAAAATCTTGTAAGGGGAAAAAAATCTGAACCTCTATAGAAAAATGTATTATGGTCTGAAAAAATTTGGAAAAACAAGACTCCCCCTTCCATTTCTAGTGCCTGTGCCGATTTCTGTGGGAGCATGCTCCTCCTCCTGCATTCCAGTGTGGAGACAGTGAAAAAAGTGTCAATCTGTCAATCAAGAGGCCTGTACCCTTTGCAAAGCGTGGTCAGGAATGGGGTGGGGGTTGGCATGCCGTCACCCTCTGGATCTCAGCTTGCGCTGCACACAGTCATGGGATAAAAAAAGAAGCTACATGCAATGTGAGAGTCAAATGAATGAGCTGTGAAAAATAATATAAGGCAAGCCTTCTTTAAAATAGAAAAATTGTACTAAGCAACAATGTAAAAAATAAAAATGACAAACACCCCACATGTAACTTTCTCTATGTGTTGTTTGGACAAAACAAAGAAGAAAGCATTCATATCATCTTACATTTGGCAAATCAGTATTCTATAGCGCCTATTTATATATGCATCTCACATTATAGGAATCTAATCTTGGGTGCTAGGGGGCAATCCAACCAATTCTTATTTAAATCACTGTCAATTTGCATTGCACACCTTACTAGATATAAACAGACCTGTGTGTTTTATGCAGTTCCACAACTTTGTCTTCCAGTTCTTTTGTCTGATTGGGTGCAAACTGAAAGTCACTGATATAGTCAGCGCCGTGCTCCTCTGCATCATAGTCTCCCACCTCAGCCTGAAGTGTGAGTGAACCAAGAAGAGCATGTGTCACAAATGAACATGGCAGACGTCCAGAAGCAATGTCCTGACGCAGCTGAAGGCACAGGTGATATCTGTCAAAAAATGAACAAACTATTCAGGAACCCTATTAAAGATTTAAGCAATAGTATATAGGAGCTGGGTATGGGAGGTAGACACTGTAAATTATTCTTCCAATAAACATGGTTTAAAACTAATTTGAATGCATCACAAATCAAGGTTTAGTTTCAATAATACTTCTATAATATTTGACTATTCCCATGGTAACACAGCAAGGATATGTTTGAGGAATATTCAGTGTGACAGGCTTAAAGCAACCTGCATGATCATCAGGAAAGAGAAGGTAACAGTACAGGGGCACCGCTGACAGAATCAAACGTCAACATATACCCTATATTGCAGATCATTTTCCCCTTGCCCTGCCCAGTGGTTTCCTGAAGTTTATGCACTTCGGTCCCTTCCACACGGGCGTTCTAATTGGGTCCACCTGTCAGGTCTGGAAAAACAAATGGATTAGAGGTCTGTTGTTTTGCCAGATCACAGATCAGGGGTAATCTAATGTAAACGGATCGCAAGGTGGAGGAAAAAACTGCACTGTCCTAGTGATAACATTCACTCTGTACTGCTGTGATCAGGAGAGGATCCGAGCACGGATCCTGTCCTAATCAGCCTGTGTGAAAAGGGCCTTATGCTGACAACTTTCATAAAGTTGCTATTTGCATTGTGCGTCTGTCAGAGTTTCATTGATGCAACATAACTTGTTGCTTATATCTTCAGTTATTTGCCTGTGCAGCTATTTTAAAATCATAATATACAGGTTTACTTTAACTGTCCTACTGCATCTCAGATCAGGCCTTAATGCCAAACTAACAACCTAAACATATGCAAAACAGGCAGAGCCAACCAACTTGGGTTGGCTCTGCCTGTTTTGCATATGTTTATGGGTGGGCAAGGCTCATAAAAACCCTAACCAAACACTTTCAAACGTTCAAAATAATTGTAAAAAAAACAGTCCGTGCCTTTGTTTCTTATCTTAGCACTAAGGATGCTGCCACTTTAAAGAGGTGTGTTCCAGAGCTGTGCTCTTAATCCGTGCTTTACTACTTGCCAAGTCAAAGGCCTAGAACAAACAGTTGGCTATCAGGTGTTAGGACACCGGATACGTACAGGATTGTTCCAAGTTAGAGATTTCCCTAGTTTTAAAGAAAATGACAGCTCTGGAGCATGCAACTACTTTTTTGCATAAAGTATAGAAGGGTTAAAACCTATCAGTTTATTTTTACTGACTGTTTCATTGGGGAGAGATATACAACATATATGCATTTCAATTGTAAATGTAGCTATTCAGCTGATGTTTCACTTTAACAGTAAGTGCATATTGGTCTTAATCTTACTAAACAAATGACAGCAAGCTGTAGAGAATCATGTTCTGGGCAGGATGTGGTTTTGCAAGATTATAATAGGATAAAATCATTTCAGTGCTTAGGTACAGAGCAGATTGTACAATATTCAGGGCATATGCACGCTAAAGTTTTATATTGGATACCTTACAGCAACAATGAAATAGACCAGGCATGTATAAATATGCTTCAGTAATGTGAAATGTTAATTAATTTCAAAAAGAAAAAAAAGCAAAACAAAAAAACAGAAGATTATTATTAGATATGTAATATTCTAAGTGTTTTTAAAGCACGCTCTAGGCAAACACCTAAAACCACAGTTGCAATACAAAGGCTTAGGGCCACTTGAGATCTTTCCAGGTCTATGTAGTACTTTGCATGTTAAGGTGCTTTGCCTTAAGGCAGCCCAGTCATTTTAAATGTGCTGCCAAAGCAATGCAACAGCAACATTTTTTTTACAAATGCATGACTCTTATTTTTAATACAGCAAACCACAGCACATGGCATGTGCGTTGTGGTGCGCTCCAGTATGGGTGCATTGCCCACTACTGTAGTTGTGTTCTGTGGTCCCTTTTTAGATGAATAGTACTACAACACAATGCTCAAACTGCCTTGAATCAACACACTGTAAAATGCACGTATTACAGCGATACAAAGTTTCTATCATGGCTGCGTTTACTTGCCAAAGGGTTCTTAATTCTGTACAGCCAATTTGTAAACATTTTCAACAGTGCACAGCCAGACAGGTAATACATGTAGTTGCCAATTAAGCAAATGATCTTCCTGAATCAGCTTCCTATGTCACAGCTCTGCATCCAGCCTCCTCATAGGAATCAACATCATTGCTTTCATCCAACAAGCAGGGAGCTGACCAAGAATGCCGTAAGGCTCTGTTCACACCTAGGCGTATCGAATATGTGCGTTTGTTGCGTTTCGTGACGCGCGTTTTTACCGTGATTCGCAGTAAAAACCGCGCGACAAACGCGCGTTTCCGAGGGCTACTTGGCTGTATCTCAATGGAAACTCGAGACAAAAACGCCGCAAAGAAGCTCATGTACCTTTTCAGGCGTAGGCTGTTTTGTAGCGCGTTTAGACGGGCTGAAATACGGCAAGGTGTGAACCATACCCATAGAAAACAATGGGATTTTCATGTTTGAGCGTTTTGTAGAGCGTTCGTAGAGCGTTGAACGCGCTACAAAACGTACAGGTGTGAACCAGGCCTAAAGCTGACCTAAGAAACAGTAATGCCAAACCAGGAATTATCAGAATCATCATACTGCAGAGATGGATGGCCAAGAGAACAAAACCATAAAATGTATGTATTTCCACAGTATACGTTTCACCGTTTCATTGGAGTCACACTTAAAATCAGAAATTAAAATTACACTTTTTTTTAACAAAGTAAAAGGAGCAGGTACCTTGTAATGTCTTCAGTTAACAGAGAAGGATCCGGGGGGTAGAACTTGACATTAAATACGAACTGCCAAGGGGAGCCTATAAAAAGAATGATAAATTATGTTAAAACATTCATTTTGCAATGTAAAAGCTGGCTACAGGGCTGCCAAAAAGTTAAGTTAAATTGTTCTAAAATAAAATAATCTAGCTTTTAACTGCGGATCAAACACAATGACATCAACAAAAATAAATAAGAGTTTGGCCCTTTCACACGAGACGATCGGATCAGCTTTTCATGGGTGTCAGTTTACACCCGGTTACTACCGACTCCGGCCAGGTCCGGAAAAACAAACGAAACAGTGTTCTGTTTTGACGGACCTGATCAAGCTGGATTGGGGGTTGTTTGATGTAAAAGGACACATGTCCAGCACCCCCTGGCAGAGCTAAAGACTCGACAGATACAGACTCTATACAGTAATAGGGGTCCCAGGCTCTAGATTGCAATCATCAGTTTCATCTGGGGCTACTGGGTGTATGCCCCCAGAACCATTAGGGAAATGTAGTCTGAAGTCACCCATACCAGCAGCTAATACAGTACACAAAGGTCTGGTAAGGGTAACAATGCAAAGCTCATTGCCAGAAGGGGACATTCTAGGTTAGCCTTGCAATCTTTCACTCCAGCATAGTCCAGGTATGGCCTGCAAAGCTGATGGTAAGGATACACAGATGGGGATAACTACCATGTAGAGACAAGCTCAAGCAGCAGTGTGGTGGAAGTTTTGAAAGAAGTCAAAGAAAAATAGTTATCAGCAATGTAGTATGAAACTTGACTGAAGTAACGAAAAAATAAAAAGCTAGTAAAAACTAGTTAGACTTTTTTCAGCAGCATTGAGAAAAAGAATGTCCTATGTCAGAGCAAAAAAACATGGCATGACAGTTAAAAGGCAGGGTTATACAGGGGCCGACTTTCAAGTCTGTCCAAACCTGTAGGCGGCAGCATATAACCTGAATCTCTCAGAATTCCTGAGTCCCCCAAAAGGACAATAAAGAAAGATAAGTAATTTTTTCTTTGTTTGTTTAACCAGCCTGTGTGACAGCCATGGCTCTTTAAACAGATACCATGGAGAAGTGAAGACATAAAAGCACAGGAGGTGTGATATTCACAGCATTACGAGATAAAAATAAAGGGAAAACACATTAAAAAAGAACACTAATGCAGACACCACATCTAAGAACTGGTAAGATCAAATATTACAGGGTAGCTTCCCCTTACAGGTTTGCCTTTGAACATTAGCTTGACTCATCTATGCCATTATTGTATTTATCTTATAAAGTTCATCAAAAGAAAACACCTACACTCCCTGCATTAAATAAAGCTACCATAGGTCTAAGAGTAAACAAAACACAATCCTATTGGTGGTACCCCAACAGACAAAAGACAAAAATCAAAAGGTTGGGCAGAAAAATCTTCCATTTTAAAAAGGGCCTGAACTGTGGAAACAGTTTTCAAAAAAGTCAAGCAAAGAGCAAAGTACTAGTCATAAGAACTGCATGTAGGTTCCCTGAAGCTGATATATTTTTTTTACTATTGCGGACTTTTCATAACTTGTTTTACACTGTGTTTGTGTGTAGAGGTGGCCCTCTTGGTACACATTGCTGCTTTGTGTCAAAGTTTAGGTTTCTCATGCTAGCTCGCATAACATTCAGTGATGTACAAGCCAGCCAGTGGAGAAACCACAGTAGGGGGAAGTGGAAGACGACACAGGTCACCAGAAAAGCAAGTAAACATGCTATTCTTTTACATACTGCACGTTCTTTAAATTTGACCCTTTAGTGACAGGTTCTCTTTAAAATAAATTGCTCTTTCTTTAGATATTACTGTAAGGAGATCTACCTTCAGCATGTGTTGCAATTTTAACGGCAGACAAGGATTTAAATCAGATGCTATTTATTGACCTGATTTCTAAAAGAGTGTTCCCTCGCCTAAGGCACATTGACAAGTGCTCTTCTGCTATCATAATGGTCACCAGGCCAAACTGAGAGGGTGAAACTTCCAGAGTGGAAACAAACAGCAAAAACAACTTAGTATGTGTCTTAACACTTCCCTACGCAAAAAAAAAAAAGTTTTGGCTTTAGACACACGTTAAGGCTTATTTTGCCCTAGACACAAGTGATGATGGGAGTCTTAGAAGGTAAAATAAGGATTCCAATTTGCTGTATAGATGCTGCAGTTATTTGCTGTTTATGAAGTTTTACGTTGTATAATGAATAAAATGTCAGGAATTTGTCCAGACGGCTCAATAAATATCATTAGCAGCACTCTCAAATGGCAGGAATGCAAGAGCGAAAACAGTAAACAATCAATATGATTCATAGCAGACACACTATGGAAAAGAATGGTTTGCCCCTCTTAAGGACAATCCCCCACTGTTGGTTTTCTCAATGTTCCACTCAAGACCAAACAGTGAAATACAATGAACAAAAAGCAATATTCACCAAATCTTCAAGCCCCCCCCCCCCCCCCGCCAACCAACAACCAAAAAAAAGCTCCCACCCCCCCCCCCCCCCCAAAAAAAAAAGAAGAACAAAAACATAGTAAAGCCAAATGAATGGAACTACAAAATGTCTTTAGCATTAACATGAGAACTTCAGGCTTAATACAGCCTATTAAATATTCAATAACATGCAATTAACACTTTACATGAACAGTATTGCACAATATCAAAGAGGTACATATCAATGATACTGACTAGAACATTAAAGTCCATGTTTATATCCCACACTTCCCACTCTGGTTTCCCTAAATTCCAAACAATATAAAACACAAAGTGAAGTTACATATTTACCTTGTTGGAATAACATTGTTTTAATGTTTAAAGCAGATCTCCAGGATTTCAAAAGTGAACCCTTGCAGTGGGGCTCATTTTGGTGTAGGGAATGGAAGAAAATACAGTCACCGATTCTCGATTCTGTCGGGGTAACCGTTCTCCTCTCACCCCAAGTGAGTGAACCTTATATAGACGTGATGAGTCAGCAGGGCGCAGACAGTGCGTGCCCAGGGGTAGAAGAGGCTACGGGGACCGGTCTAGCAGTCAAGTAAGTTTTACCTGATCTGCGAGGGTAGCCCCACTGCAAGGGTTAACTTTTGAAAATCCAGGAGTTCCTCTTTAACATACATTTAGTATATTTATAAAAAAATATAGTTGATTTGTGACATAATTGCTACCATCTGAATGTAGAGTTAGTTAGGGCTTGGTATTTGTAGTTTAAATCTACTAATACCGTATTTGCCAGCCTATAAGACGACTTTTTATATTTAAAAACATCCCCCGAAAATCAGGGGTCGTCTTATACGAGGTGTATTTAAACAAAATGGATGGTAGACAAGACCCCATCATGGCTCCAGCAAGAAGAAGGAAATATGAAGCCTCGGAAAGGGGGGGTAGTATTTGACGACGAGTATAGCCCAAAACCTATGTTTTAACTGGAAAATTAGGGGATCGTCTTATACACCCAGTCGCCTTGTACGCCGGCAAATACGGTACTTTTAGTATAAGTTTAGTATAGACATGCAAGGACAGAATGTGTGTTCTGGAGTTGTCTCCATCAAGTATCACAAGCCTAAATCATAGCTGCCATTCAAAAGGTGGTTTCACAACTTTAAGAGAGCATGACATCATCATCTGGATTTACAATGACTGCAGGAATTACTGCAATGCAATACCAGCAACGTCATAGTAGATATTTGAAGCCGCTACTAAAAGATGTACTAAGATCAGCAGCTGCACTGGGGAACATGATTAGTTAATGATGCTGGCAGGTCTCCTGATGGCTCCAAACCCTGGAAAATGGCTATTGCTCAGCAACTGAGCTACAAATTGCTGAAAGTGCTGTGACCAAGACCCTTCACTCAAATGCAATCTAACAACAAGAGTACTGACTGTAGCTGCTACAGACTGTTGCTACAAAATGTGACATGGTAGAGGTATGAAGCACTCGAGAGATAGCAGGGGCATGATGTCACTCTGTCATTTAACTACCCCTTACGCATGAAAAGTGGAATATCAGATTGTCTTAAAGGGCATATTCAGGTAACAAACCAACTACAGAACTGCTAATACTATCTAGGAAACATTGAGACTTAGAACATACACAAATAAAAATGTAATGGTGTTGCAGCACACCAGTCCTTAGATGTGGTGGCTGCATTAGTTTTCATTTTTAAGAAAAGTACATTTTGTGCAAGTACAGAAAATACTTGTTATGACTGGAATCCAGTACAACTTTGTGCACTGAACCAATATCTCAGACGTTTTCCAGATCTCCCCTGTTATCTTCTGCTGAACTACAGAACAACTCCATTATGTTATGGAGAAGAGGAGAAGGGAGTGGTTCTGTAACCCAGTCAAGAAGAAATAGGCAGTGCTGACAATGCTGCTTAAGATGTCAGTGCAGGTGAGGCAAGGTGTTGTCAGTTTAAACAACAAAGAACATACAGGATTTCAGGCAGATATTTTTGCTGTACTTAAAGCAGTTGTGAAGGGATAAAGCCCAGAAATAAGTGCTTGTATTGAACTAATTGAATCCTTACTACAGATCCCAACAGCATACAAAACACACAGACCCAATAGACACACCATATACACCAAGCAGAAGCAGCTGAAAACCATAAGAAAAGAAAATAAACTGGACAAAAACAGATGGAGCCAAAATTCTCAAGTGATGTCATCGCTGTCCTGCTTGGGAAAAATATTACACTGAAAAGATAAGACATGCTAGGGAAACATTGAACAGGAAATTGATACAAAGACAACGTATAAAGAATATACATTTGTACCATATGACACTCATTACAGAAATGGCATTACAAGCAAGGATATATGGCAATGTCAAAGAATAGTCTGCAGCAGAACAGGAACAGTGTTTGCTTTATAGATTTCAGAGCGAATACTTTACATGTTTCCAGTCAAGTAAATATTTCCTATTAAATAAATCTTTAGGCGAATTGTCAAGTGAAAACATGTACAGTTTGTACTACCAGACTGTGTTCTTTTATGTATGTTGTTTGGCTTTTCAAACATATAAAAATGCAGTCTTGCTATAAGTGACTGAAGGTCTGCTCACATATTTCTTCAAGATGAGGGTATGTGAATCTGGCCACAGTCCATCATTATGTCTGTGTATGCACAACGAAAGGGAATGAAACAAGCTGAAAATGGAGCTCTGCTACAGAATAGCCAAACACATCAAGCATGTAGTAAATAAAAACACTGGGAAGGGAATAACCTAACACATTTTGCTTTTATTAATCTGTATCACTGATACACATCCTAATGTTTTTAACAAATGTCTAGTATACCAGCGAGAATTCACACCGCATCCCATTCCTTCTAAACCACATGATCCCAAGAGAACAAATATCAACCATTTTCATTTTTTGACCTCTGCAATATAACTCTCAGCTTTTCCACCAGCTCGTGATGACAGAATCCAAGAATTTGTAGAGGTCAACAGAGATTTGTATGCATTGTGAATCTGCTCCAAGGCTACAATGAGCAATACATGGAACATGCATGGAGGCGCCCGTGTTTTCTGCCCTAAGCAACTTAAGAAAAACAAAAATCTGGCTCCAACACTACCGCAATGCTGTGTTGTATTACATCAAATGAACAGCTAGAGACTTAACACTGTAATTGCACTACTAAAAATACAAACAATGCAGACATTTGCTTCATAAAAAATGTGGATTCATATTTCCAAGGCAAGACTAAATTTATAAAACATACATGTTTTTTTTTTAGATTCACTTTATTAGACAATTACTGAATAATGTACAGCAAGTCCCCTACATACAAATATTCCAGTTGAGAACTTTCAAAGATGCAAACATGCGTTCTCATGTGCAATCACGTAAGTTAGTTCACGTGCCTGGCATACATTTATACGCGCTTTTGTGTACCTTACTGTACTGAGTACAGTATCTGTTTTTTAAGCCCAAGATGCCCGGAAGCCAATGTAAAAGCAGAAGTGATGTAGCTGGGTACCCAGGCTAATTTTGTTGGACTTAAAAACGTTTTCTAGGAATGGAACCCGCTTGTATGTGGGGTACTTGCTGTACTTCAATGTTAAAAAAAAAAAAAAAAAACTAAAAGCTCACCTGTGTGATTGTTATAATGTTGGTAATCACCTGCCTTCGTTCACCCATTTCTCTAGAGAACAAGTAGTCTCAAGTCCAGCATTGGAGTTACTATGTTATTACAACCACACCACCACTAGTATATGAGGTATAAGGAACTTGATTAGATAACCATAGAATTCAAACATGGAGAAAAAGAACATCTGAAGGCTTACAACGTTGTGCAGCGTGTAGAGATAAGCCTGGTGGTATGTTCATAGGACAAGACTGCTTTGTGTGTAACTGCATATGCCTCACGTGTAAGCATGTCCTAAAACCCATCCAAAGCTGCTTAAAAAAAGGAGCACATCATAGCCCTGTAGCGCTCATGAATTTTGTATATATACAGGCAGCAATTCAGTCAGAAAGCCATCTTTTGTAATGTTCACACTATGTCTGGACCAGACCTCAAGCAGATCTGCAAATGCAGTGCATTGTTTCTGCAATCGTAAAGCGTTCTGATGCCGTTTTTGTTTTTTAGTTTTGAGATGCAGTCCAGTGCGTTTACATTCATTTGTATATGTTTTTGAAAATGAGTCCAGCAGTATTTATTTATTTTTGGTCTGGACCGGAACGGACTGCGCTGGTGTGAACAGAGCCCAGAAATATAATTAGGGATACATTGGGATGCTTTTTTGGTCCGGGAACAAACTGTTCTGGTCTGGACATGATCCGGACATGGTGTGAACAAGCACTAAGGGAACCAGCCATATTAAATACCCTCAGAAATGAATAGTATTTCCTAAGGGCCGGTTCACACCACAAAGTCCACATTCCAGTGCGTTCGGCCTCTGGAACACAAGCCGGCCGGGCTCCCTGTATTCAGGGGCAGGAGGGGGCGTGGCGGTGCATTGAAGTCAATGGCACAGCAGCCACGCCCCCTGCAGTGCAATCGCCCGCACCCGGAATGCAGGCACATTAGTGCTTGCGTCCTAGGTGCGGGTGATTGCACTGTGGGCAGGGGTCGTGGCTGTGGTGCCATTGACTTCAACACACCGCCATGCCCCCTTCCACCCCTGAATGCAGGGAGCCAACCGCCTTGCGTTCCAAAGGTCGGGCGCACTGGAACGCCAAGTTTGTGGTGTGAACCAGCCCCAAAAGAAGACATCACAAGATGTCTGCCAATAAGTTTAGCTTTGGTATGGACCGGAACAGACTGCGCTAGTGTGAACAGAGCCCTGAAATACCATAGGGATACACTGGAATGCTTTTTTTGGTCCGGGAATAAACTGTTCTGGTCTGGACATGATCCGGACATTGTGTGAACAAGCCCCAAGTCAACCAGTCATATCTAGTACCCTCAGAAATAAATAGTATTTTCTAAAAGAAGACATCACAAAATGTCTGCCAATAAGTTTAGGTCAAAATATATCAATCTCTGTCCACACCAGAATCCTTAACTTTGCAGACAATAAAAATTCTAACAGCTCATTACCCTCCACATCATAACACAACCCTGTGTGGCTGCTGAGGAATCTGAACCCGATTGGCTGAAGGTAGAAGTGTGTCTTAGATTTGGGTCAGAGGGAAGTTAAAGCGACATTAAACCCTCAGATTTTTTAACATAAACCAATACTGTAATGTGCGCCTTACTGTAATCCATGGTTGTTTCCCTTCTCTTTGATGCTCTTCCTTTTAAATCTGTATCTGTTCTCATGCTTGGAGAGAACTTCCCTTTTCAGCAGACTGCCTTGTCTCACACGGTGTCTGTGTATCCATTTGTATAGGCTTGTAACCTGAGCCAGCACTACAGGAAGAGGCCCTGAGCTGAAAAGGGAGGTTCTCCACAAGCATGAGAACAGATACAGTTTTAAAAGGAAGAGCATCAAAAGAGAAGGGAAACAACTAGGGCTGCAACAACTAAATCGACATAATCGATTATAATCGATTATTGGAAAAGTTGTAGAAGGATTCCAGAAAGCGCGTACTAAGATTTGAGGGTCCCCTTAAAGGAGAACTATGAGGTGAGTGATTTTCACTCATCCTCAGTTCTAGCCGACCTGTGACAATGACACTGTCACAGGTCGGCTCAGTAGATCGGGAAGTGAGCGAACACATACCGGCGCTCGCTCACTTCTCTATCCTTTCACTGCAGAGAGCCGTGACAGGGGAGGGACTGGATGCCCCCCTCCCCGTTCCTCCAGCGCTGAATGGCTGAACGGACGGGGGATGGGGCGGGTACAGCTGACTCTGCCTCTAGATAGGCAGAGCCAGCTGTCACTCACGCAGCTGGGTGGATCCAGACATAATTGTCGGGATCCGTTTCAGCTGCGGCGTCTCAGTATACCATGAGCTGTAGCTTGCGGTATACTGAGCTTTGGCTGACAGGAGGACGCTAGTTAAAGCACGCACAGAAAGATTTGCTTCCAACTAAAAGAACTGCAAGGCATCATGTAGTGCCTGCGTTAGGGACCATCATGCTTTTAAATGTACCAGAGGCCCAGCATAGTCATTCAAGTAAATATACTCTAAATAAGTAGATGAAGGCACTGTTTACAAGTTTAAAGCAAATTTCCCTCCAACAGCTCCTGCTCTTTGATTATATTGAAGATTAGAAGGCTGCTGAGTCACGGTGTTGAGCTTCTGAGAAAAGGACTTGAACAACTTGCTTCTGCTGTGAACATTGAGGATAATTTGCTCCACAGTGCCTGTTTTAAAGTGTACCTGTTTTCAGGCTATACATAAACTATATATTTCAAACAAGCAGTAAAACACTTTAAAACCAGGCCTCAATGGACTGGTATAGCTCTAGGGGTTATGGAGAAATGTATAACCAAAGCCACAGCTCCCCTTTACTTATTTCCTACGGCAGCAGAATCTTGGCTGCCAACCAGCCATCTAATATTGAAAGACAGCATGTAGTTTTAAATTTTAAAGATGGCCACCCATAGCTCCAATTTCAGACAATTTCTGCTGAATCGCCTGAAATTCGAGCAATGGGTGGCCCTTCTGACAACACCCGGTTTGACAAAAGTAATTTTTTTTAAATCAAATACTGTCAAGGGAGCTGGGTGGAAAATATATCAGCCGAACAGTTCCAGCATTCAGTCAGATGCAGACACTGTTCAGATATTCCGACAGCAGGGGGTACAAGCTGTCCGTAAATGGGGGCGGGGGAGGGGGATGTTCGTCCAAGCGCGCTCTCTTTAGCCAGACAAACCGTAAAGCATTTAAGCTAAGGGCAGAAAGGCTGAACCCTCATTACTGGAAAGGAGACTTGATTTAGAAATCTTCCACCGAGCCATATACTGGGCAAACACCATTCATACAGGATCCACGCTACTAGATGGAGCTGAAGAGCATAAGAATTTCATATGCTCCTCGGCTCCATCTAGTTGCAAGAAAACCTCAACAGAAGTTTTATAAATCACCCCCTTAGTCTTTGTAGGACTTTCCCAAAATAAATACCGCCTTCTCTAGTACTGGCAGAGAATCCACAATTGTGGCCATATCATCTATAAAACAAGGTTTCCCATTTACACACACAAAAAAAAAAAAAAAGTCTACAACATATTGCAAAGTACATGTTATCTCTGAATAAGCCACATATGATTTTCAACAGAAAAAAAAAAAATTGGAGTTACGTACCTGGTAACTGTTTCTAGGAACCTTCCAGGACAGCATTAGAGAGATAGGCTCCTCCCACCGGAAACAGGAAACACATCACCCACACCTATAGAGAAAAAAAAGTTTTAGGTTGATGTTACAAAGTGTTAATTACCACATCACACTTTAATAATCTTTAATGCTATATATGAGAAAGCAAATTTCACATCTAGGGTCACTAGAGTAAAATTATTTCTAATAAACATAACTATGTACAAAAAAATGTATTTGCCTTTTGGGCCTTTAAATAGAAAACACTTACTTCTAATTTGCCTCTTTATTTCCTTTGCAGGATCCAGCCAGCTCTGAAAGAAAGCCAGACACTAAGTGATCAGAGTACAGTAATTATTTAAATACAGAAATTGAAAACTGACAAGACAGTGACATTCTTTAATACATAAACTGAATGCAAAAACAAAGCAGATACTTTATAAAAAGGTAGAACACAAAGAAAAAAAACCGGGCGCCTGACCTGGTGCAATAAAATCTTTTAATTGGTAAAAAACCCATATACAAAATATTACTCACAAATGGAGCAAGGATAAAAAGCATCAGTGGACTGACAGTCCTCAACTGATATATCTGCTGTGGAGGTGAGACAATGAGACAGTCCAGGTCAGGCACCTGGTGTTTTTCCTTTGTGTTCTCTACAGCGTCCAGGATCCCTCTTCCTGAACGGGGCAGCCATACTGGATTTTTTTTGGCCACAGGAGGGTCGTGTGTGTGTGTGTGTGTGTGTGTGTGTGTGTGTGTGTGTGTGTGTGTGTGTGTGTGTGTGTGTGTGTGTTTTTTGGAACTTTATAAAAGGTGTCTTGGACATAATAAAAAGAAAAAGTCAGCCACTATACAAGATGATGCCACATACTAAAATTAAAATAAGCCTTGGCTGTTGTAAGAAAGAGAAGAAGCTATTACTACTACAATCACAGGTGATTCTCCAGCAGGAGCTACATGAGCAAAACTCAGTATAAAAAGTCCTAATAAATAAAAGGGAGGTTGATAGCCACTGGAACAAGATCATGATAGCCAAAGGACTAGGACTCGTCTCTAGCCTTTTAGACTGGCATCAATTGTTAGGATTTTCCCTGACAACAGAAGCAAAGATTTTCTCAATGCCAGAGATAGATTGCCAAGCCCCTAGGCCAGAGATAACCTGGCTTCCAGTATCATGCAAGTCAGTTTGTTTAGTCTTGAAACTAAACAGATTAGTCCCATGATGACAGAATGTTGAGTTGTTGGGGTCTGGAGTGGATCCGAGCACATGAACCTGAACCTGCCGCAAACGGAGCCTGTCTTGCCCCTTTGCTAAACCATCATGTGACAACATGTCTGCACGGTAATAAAAACATTTATTTGGACACATTTCTTTGGTGTGCTGGTGACATCTTGTTTCTATATTGATCTTGGCTGCACCTACCACATTCATGTCAGCACCCATTCTTAAGGGGTTTACCGGTAAGGAATGCAGTGGGATACCTACTAGAAATGGACCCAGATATTCCAAGCCATGTGTCTGTTCCACCACTGATTTCGGAAGGTTTAGGATCCAACCGAACCCTTTTAAGGTCTGGACATAACATTGTCTTTCAAAGTTTGAGCCAACACAGACAGACAGAGAGAGAGAGAGACCTCTACAGCTGCAGGAAAAAGGCATTGAAATTAGTGCTTAAGAGGTCCAATGCTGCAGGGCTGTTCCACCTGCATTTGGGAGCCAACATTTTGCACTGTGAAATAGGCACAATTTTAGTTGAGAACACCAATCAAAAACTCACACCTCGTACTGCTGTATAGCTCCGATTTCTTACTCGCTAAAGTCTGCCTGAAGTGCACATACAATTTCAGCATCTCCTATTCAGCCTATCGACATAGCTGAGATCATTCATAAAGGTGCTAATAGCAGTCTTAAAACCACTCAGAGAAAGGGTAATTTGAGTTCTACATTATCTTAATGAAATTTAATATGATCCCAGAGAAGATCTATTCTGCTAGCCTGAATGCAAGAGGTAAAAGAGACGCTTACCCGGTCGTGTGGTTAATAAACATTTCTAGTCAGATTTTTCCCCTTCAGCGCATGATTTACCTTAGAGCGTTATTCAACATGTGCCAATGCTCGGTGTCTCTTGTGCAACAAAAGATGCTCCCTAGCTCAGAGAATACTCATTTAGTCAGAGATGAAATTGCGTGATGGAGGACAAGGTATTAAAAAAAAAAAAAAACTGCTTCCCTAATGTTCCTTAGACCACATCTCTTGAACCATCCTTACTTAGGACATGTTACCTAGGTAGAGATGCCCATTATGGAGGGATAATGGTCCAGGGGTGGTGGAAGTGTAAAACAAAAAGCACAGTGTGCTCATCTGACTCCACTACCGATTTTATATCCATGGGTATATGGGTGGTTCCAGCAGCAGGACTGTTACAAGAATTGGCTTTGATACTGGAACGTGCAGAAAGGAATCTGTCATAACATAACAATACACATTCTAATATTTTTCAGAACATAGAAAAATATTATCAGTCGAACAACTTTATACGCAATAACAATGATCTCATGAATCAGCTGTTTGCTTTAACATGTTAAAAGTGGAGCAATCGCCAAACAGACCTATTTGCCTCTCCAGTCAGTGCTAAGCTGCCTAGATATTTCATAAGGTAGCAGGGACCGCAAGCAGGGACTCAGAAGGAGTAGATAGGTTGATATAGTCATAGACGTTTCAGCTGGGCTACGTGTGCCCTGCAACTCCTTCCATTATGAGGTCTCTCCAAAGCTGCTCCGTGGAACAGGTTATGGTCACCATAATTTGATACTAGTTGCAGTGACCTTGATTTATGCTCTTAATGCAGCTGACAATGTGTGAGTCTTCCTCTAGTGCCGTAATTTTTGACATAAGGAAATGTAACACCGAGAACTCTGGATTTAGGGGTCTGGAAAATGAGCAGCACAGAATGGAGGATGGCAGGTGCCCCACATGAAATCCAGCAGAAATCCCGCTTACAGCAAGGAAACAAATCCACTAACTCAACTTAACATAAGGTGTGGAAGAAGTTTGGGGAATTTGCAAAACAGAGGTCTTTTGATCCCTTGTCCCTAGGGATCCACAATATTCTTAATCTCCTGCAAAACGGACTGGACCTGGGCTGAAAACTTTAAATATCAGCTCTTTGGGATCCAACGATTAATGCTTTGAAGAGGTTTCTCACAGCACTCATTGAGACCAGTGGCATCTCTGTTTAGTATTACAGGTGCTTTCCCCGCATTTGTTTTTACTTAAGGAGCAATGTTCCTTAGAAGACATCACATACAAAGCAGCTTTCCAGGTGGCTGTCACTTCCGCCCGTAGGTTATCAGAGATGCGTGCCCTGGCAAATTTGGAGCCATACATAAGAGTTCCATCTAGACAGAGTGGTACTTCAACCGATTCATGAGTTTGTGCCTAAGCTGTTTTTTCCTTTTCAGAAAAACTCCACGAGTTGGATGCATCAAGAACACTAAAACATTATCTTTCATGACTCAGTGCTTCAGAAAGGACAATGAACTCTTCATAATTCCAAGAAAAGTAATCCAGAACCATCGCAGGATGGATAGCAAGGACTATACAGAATGCCTACAGGGCTAGTAACACACCTAGTCCTCAAGTAGTGGCGGCAAATTCTACCAGAAAAGTTTCTTCTTCTTCGGTGGTATTCGTAAAGGTTTCTCCAGAGACAATATGCTGAGCGGCCAGCTGCTCTTCAGTCTCAATGGTCATTGTGCACTATAATGCAGCCCCTGGCTTCCCAGGACTTTGAAGCCATGCAGAAGGGGGTACATGTCTCTAGATGCTCAAAAATAGTATTGTCTGCCAAGTAACAATGTAGGTAAACCGAAGTAAAAAAATTCCCCAGTGTGTGTGCCTGAAACTAAAATATTTTATACTAACCAAGCTTTTCGCAGGTAAAATGTGAAACAGACTTGTACTAAATGAATTTTCAATACAAAAGATGATCACACTTAACGGAATATTGGCCAGCTAGGTTAAAGCTTATCCACATTATTGGAATCTTTAGTCAATTTAATGTTCAGAAATGTGATCTTAAACCAACAATGGTTGAATGGAGTGTGTACCTTGTCCCCATGTTTGTGTAGGTTTCCTCCAGGTGATCAAATTGCCTCCCACAAACCAAATATGCATGCCTCTCAGATTTTGGTAAAACATTAGAATGCAAGAATGGTTTATTGCACTCCAAGTTCCCATTCCCAGTGGGTTTCCAGCAACTACAAATTACATTAGTCAGCTGCAGACTTGCTGTTTTGCAAAACTTCATATCCAGATAAAAACACAACAGTAAACAATGCCTACAAGCTTGTTGGAATAAAATGGTGCTATATAAATGAATACAACAACCATATCCCATATTAGCATTCACAAAAAAGAAAATGCAGTCAAGAGTGTGTTTCCTAAAAACAGTTATGTCACATTATGTCACATTGTCTCTGATTTAAACAAAACATTTACCGAGAGAATCTTTCTGTGCTGACATATTCATCTATAAAAAAATAGATTTGCCTGCCTGGCTTTGATACTCATCCTATAGCCTTGGTACTTTGTGGCACTGACCTAAATCACACGTCCAGATCAGGATTACGGTCTTTACTCTGACTTTCTAATTTGCATGCAATATTTAAAGGGAGATTTCCAACCAAATTTATTTTTACCATTATTCATCTGACAAAACACTATATATTTCAGGCCTATTTTTCTATTATAATTATAATCTATTATAATTATACAATCCACACCTGCAGAATTCATGTAGCTGAAAGTATTGTTTCAAGACAATCTGGCACCTCGTGTATTTTACAAATGATCATTTTGGTAGATAAGATCACTAAATGTTTATGGAATTATCTTTTCTACTAAAGATCTTTCGTGTGTCTTTGGGTAGCCTAAGGTTAAGGGCTGCTAAGATGGCCATCTTCACTACTGTGTCTGGAGGCCTAAATGGTGATCAACACACAAGAGTGCCTGGCATTAAGCTAACCCACTGTGCAGCTGCAATCCCTCAACAGCTGGCTCATAAATGGCTTACTGTACTGGCTGCACTGGAACAAGAGATACATCATTCTGCATTCAGCACAACTCTGTCTGGAGGTCACAGAAGTGAGGCATTTTCATCTACAAAAGGCAACAACCCCAACAGGAAAAACTGAATCACAGAATGTGGGCCAAAAAGCAAAACACGTTTTGTCTCTTGGCAATTGTGTTAAGGCCCAGAGATTGTAAGATATACAGTATCAAGGGGAGAAAAGCAAAAAGATCCTTATT